CAAGACTGACCTTGCATTTCCCAACTCCCATTGACAGTGGAAATAATCGATTTTTTCATGCTTCTATGGCAGTTTTCATGTAGTTTGCGGCCATTTTCTACTGGCCAGAGTGAGAGTCAATAGCTGGCTGCCACGAATAGGCAGGAAGATTCTATTGGCCAGTGTGAGAGCCAACAGCTGCCTAACACAAATGTTAACTACCATGCTAGCATACAAAAAACTTAAACTCAACGTTGATTCTGACTAAGTATAGCGCTTAGAAAAAATTTGCAGTGTGAGATAGGCAAGAAGTAAGGCATGTAGCAACATCAGCACGGCAAAGGGCACTCCTTTAAAGGCAAGGAAGGGCAAAAATATTTTAAGTCAAGTGACAGCAATTACTGTATGAGTTGTTCGGTTTTTGAATCGAGCACGGTCAACACCAGGCCATGCTGCTAGTCATTGTTATATTTTGTCAATTGTAATCCACAGATAGACTGTTTTGCTGTATCACAGCTCATCAGTGTTGCTAGACACGTGATTGCTTCAAGCAAGTATCGAAATCTGACTGATTTGACATCAAAGACTCTCACACTTTAGGTATCAGCACACACTATGAAGAAAGGGAATTTTTAATGCATTATATACAAGATATAGGCATTACTGATTACTAGAGGGATCAATTCATAGCAAAGAGATTTTAGTATTAATCAGCAGTAGCTGACAAATTCCCTTTCTTTCAAAGTGCTCAACTTACAAATTCATGACCTGTTATATTCAGTCATGATCTTTAAATAGTGCATGTATTTGATATCATCCTCAACTATAAGTGCCTTTTAAGCCTTGATTTTAAAATATACTTTTTTTTTTTGCGTTTTTTATGTCTGATGGTACCAAAATTGAGGCCTGTTACTCTGGCCTTTACTTTTGGCAAATGCTTTCTTTGCATGAACCTCTGGAAAAGTGCTTCCAAATCTTTTCCTCAGTGAGGATACACAGTTGTAATTAAAAAGTATGTACTAAGATAAATACCCCCCCCCCGCCACTCAATACAGTAAAAATACAGGGAGAGGTAAAAGTCACACATCATAGGGATAATTTATTAAAAGTATAATTACAGGTGGGAATTCTATTTACTAGTTATTTAATTGCTATGTGTGCTGTTCAAAATCTCCTTAAAACACATTTCAATTCTGCGCCTGCAAGATTCATTAACATGTTGGAGAGTTTCCTCTTTCATTTTACTGCATTCATATTTAATTCTTTCTTTAAGTTCCTTAATATTTTTTGGGCATGTCTGATGAACAATTGATTTCAAATGGTCCCATAGAAAAAAAATCCAAGGGTGTGAGGATGTCTTTAACCTATCCATTTGTTATGGAATTGTTCATTTAGAAAGTCATACGCAATCAAAGCAAAATGTGGCAGTGCTCCAGCCTGTTGAAAGAACATGTTCATTCTTTTTGCTAAAAATTGTTTCCCTTTAGTAAGTCAACTGTCCAAGTTTTAGTTTCCTCTCTTGTGGCCAGGTATTGAACTTGCAACTCTTTGGGTTACTTCAACCAATGCGTTTTACCCACTGGGCCATGTGTTGAGTTACTAAAGGGAATTAACTGAAAGTGACATATCCAGAAAAGGTATGGCATGTGGAACTAGAACAATCTACCACCTGTAGACTAAATAAAGGGTTTGGTTTGAATTTCCAATGTATAACACCTGAAAAAGGCTGGAGCATACTGCAGCCGAAATGTTGTGAATATGGCAATAAGGATGAGGACAACAGTCTGAATGATGTAAATAGTTACAATATCTCATCTGAGAAATAGACAGATGTTGAAGGTGAATATAGCAATAAAGATGAGGACAACAGTCCAAACAATGTAAATAGTGTAAATAGTTACAATGCCTCATCTGAGAAATAGAGAGAGATGTTGAAGGTGAATATGGCAATAAAGATGAGGACAACAGTCCAAACAATGTAAATAGTGTAAATAGTTACAATACCTCATGTGAGAAATAGACAGATGTTGAAGGTGAATATAGCAATAAAGATGAGGACAACAGTCCAAACAATGTAAATAGTGTAAATAGTTACAATACCTCATCTGAGAAATAGACAGATGTTGAAGGTGAATATATAATAAAGATGAGGACAACAGTCCAAACAATGTAAATCGTGTAAATAGTTACAATACCTCATCTGAGAAATAGACAGATGTTGAAGGTGAATATAGCAATAAAGATGAGGACAATAGTCCAAACAATGTAAATAGTGTAAATAGTTACAATACCTCATCTGAGAAATAGACAGATGTTGAAGGTGAATATAGCAATAAAGATGAGGACAACAGTCCAAACAATGTAAATAGTGTAAATAGTTACAATACCTCATCTGAGAAATAGAGACAAATGTTGAAGGTGAATATGACAATAAAGATGAGGACAACAGTCCAAACAATGTAAATAGTGTAAATAGTTACAATACCTCATCTGAGAAATAGAGAGAGATGTTGAAGGTGAATATGGCAATAAAGATGAGGACAACAGTCTGAATGATGTAAATATTTACAATACTTCATCTTAGAAATACAGAAGTATTTGGTATTTTTAAATGTGTAACTGCTTTCAAAGGCTTCAGTTGAGCAAAGACAAACATGGTAGAAAGATCCAAATTAATTTTGTAATGTTTCTCTCTTTATGCACTGATAATTTTTTAAAAAATGTTTTGTATTTCATTGCATTCCAGGCAGTCTGAATGTTGGAATTTTTCTAGTACGTATGAAAGGATTCCCTTGAATTTCCCAAAGTTTCTCTTTTCACTCATTGTAACTCCTTATCACTGAAGATGATTCATACACAAAATATTAATTCTTTAAAATTAATATTACAATCATATGGTTGAAAATACTGCCGACAGAATATATCAGGAACAAGCCAATTTCAAGAATAGAAACTATAAAAAATTTGCTGCCAGAATCAGATAAAGATGAAATTTCTGGAATACTTGATAAAAGATGGCTCAGAGAATTTAACACTCATAAGGTACATTAAAAACGAATGAAGCAGGGAGTAAACTGACAAATTTCAGCAAATGGATAAAGGAAGAAAGAAAAAAAAAGGTTATAAAGAAACGATTATTACTGAGAGCAACAAAAGACTGGAAGATGTGGAGAAACATGATTGCCTACATCCAGAAGGGACATGATATATATGAATTTGGATCAAATACAGATTGGAATATGACAGAATGATAGGATAAAGAACAAATGTTGCATAGCCCCCTTTGTTCTGGAGAGGGGTCTATTGGTTGACGGTTTTAAGGTAATCATAATAAAGCTGTTTTCTTCTGGCCCAGGTGATCACTAGTTCTTGTTCGTTTGGAGGTAAAATGAGATCTTCAACAAAAGGGATTTTGACTTACTACTTTATCAAACATGTTGACGTGTACATTTTTAACTAGCCAGTGGGGTCACTCTATCACCCCCCTCCCCCACCGCTGGGAAGCAAGTTCCCCACAACACAAAACTAACACATCTGCATTCTTCAATGTGTAAAACTTAACTCCCTGAAAACACTTTTTAACTCTAACATTCCCGCGTTCAACTCAGCTAATCAAAATTGACATCCCTATTTTGTCTACCAGCTGACCTCAAGGTCAGCCTTAATAGGTCTGAGCCAAAAACATTGCCACTGAAAACTAATAGTCTGAAACTGTTATTTAATGTAAATAGGAAACATTTATAAATCTAACATGTTTCACTTTTATTAAAGCTTCATCAGAGAATGAGTTACAGGAAACACACTATATCCACCACGGTCAAAAAATAAAATTGGGATAAGTCTTAGGATTCTACCTTAGAGTAACTAGGTGAAGAAGAGAAATACATTGAAAGGAAACATTTTAGACTTCTTCACTACCTACAGCATTTCATCCTCAATGCTAGAAAACGAGCATACAAAATCCCCAAATCCTCAAAATTAAACATCATCAATAGCACTTTTAATGTCTACGGCATAAAATTCATAATCCTACACTTTATTTAAAAAATTTTTAAAATAAATTATCTCCAACCCAAGAGTCATTACCACCGTATCCAAGACAACAAAGATATAATTAGAAGAAAAATAGATTCAGCAAGACTAAAATACATCTAACCCTGTAGTCCTATAGGATCGGATGTAATTTATTCCCTGTTTTTAACTTCAGAAACACAGGGTGGGTCATGTTATACACAAGTCAACATGGTACATGTGTCATTTTGGTAATATTAATATCTGACCTCCAATCTTACTAAAGTTATTTTCTTACATGTGTCATGTCCCTTCAGGACATAGGCAATCCTCACTTTCCACAACCCCCACATAACTCCTGTTCTACCACCCATTTACACTGGCTTGTGAGGTAAGTGATCATGGCTCTCCACATCTTTCTATCCTTTTTAGCACTTAGTAATATTTGTCTATTTACTATCTCTCCATCTACTTGATCTGTTATCCATTTACACTGGCTTGTTAGGTAAGTGATCATGGCTCTCCACATCTTTCTATCCTTTTTAGCTCTATCTACTATCATAACATTTACTATCCTTCCTTCTCCCTAATCTGCCATCCATTTACACAACCTCATTAGGCATGTCACATGCTACTTTCCACTTTTTGTTGCCTTCACTATATCCTGTGAGTGTCAAATTCTCCAAGACCTCTTACCTTGTGTCCTAGGAATTTCAACTCTTTCTTTCTGATTTTGTATCTAACTACCCTTTGTTTCCATTTTTCTTAAAACTTCCTTGTTGTACATATTTTCTTTCCATGTTATTTTAATTTCTATAAAACCTGAAATCTCATCTTCATTTGTAGAGATTGTTCAGCATTGACTGGAAGAGTGATTTTTTTTTTTTTTTTTTTTTTTTTAATAATAATAAAATTTTCCTCCTTTTTAATACATTTTTTTGTCCTGGCCAAGTTTTACTTTTTTTTTTTTTTTTGTTAGTGATTTTATTTATTTATTTATTTATTTACAGGCTTGGAACTGCATTGTCCAAGAAACAGATAAAATGATGCAACGTGTCCGTCAAAACATTGAAGGCTTGAATTCCAAAGTTTTAAAAGTTTTGGGAAACTTGATCACAGAAAAAAAAACAGCCAAGAAGGTTTACACAGAAGGGCGAAACCGACTTGAGGAAGAAAACCTAAAGGTAAGGCATTATATTCATTACTCAAGCTTACTAATAAGTAACTAAATAACTAAATTATCCCCTTCCAATACAACCAAGATTATCCATTATTTCATGCCTCTGCTCTTCTCTCGCCCTTTGCCTGTATCTTCTCATTCTCTCCCTTATCCCTTCCAATACAACCAAGATTATCCATTATTTCATGCCTCTGCTCTTCTCTTGACCTTTGCCTGTATCTTCTCATTCTCTCCCTTATCCCTTCCAATACAACTAAGATGATCCTTTATCTCATGACACTGCTCTTCTCTCGCCCTTTGCCTGTATCTTCTCATTCTCTCCCTTATCCCTTCCAATACAACTCAGATGATCCTTTATCTCACGACACTGCTCTTCTCTTGACCTTTGCCTGTATCTTCTCATTCTCTCCCTTATCCCTTCCAATACAACTAAGATGATCCTTTATCTCATGACACTGCTCTTCTCTTGAACTTTGCCTGTATCTTCTCATTCTCTCCCTTATCCCTTCCAATACAACTAAGATGATCCTTTATCTCATGACACTGCTCTTCTCTCGCCCTTTGCCTGTATCTTCTCATTCTCTCCCTTATCCCTTCCAATACAACTAAGATGATCCTTTATCTCATGACACTGCTCTTCTCTTGACCTTTGCCTGTATCTTCTCATTCTCTCCAAGTTTCTCTTCATCTTTTACTCTTTCTCTCTCATATTTTCTCTCTTCCTCTTTTACTATTTCTCTACCCTGCCATAAACAAGTTTTAATACATTGTAATTTATAGAATATTTTTTTCTTACCTGCCATACAATTGACAAGCCCAGTCTTTATTTTTTTCATCTCTATTCCTTCCATTTATTTTGTCATTTCTTCTGGTTTTCTTTTCATCTTTCTTAAGCTTTCCTACTTTCTCCATTCTTACACTTTTCCTGCCGCTCCTTTTACCTCGCTTTTCCTGCCGCTCCTTTTACCTCCTTTTCCTGCCGCCTCCTTTACCTCGCTTTTCCTGCCGCTCCTTTTACCTCGCTTTTCCTGCCGCTCCTTTTACCTCGCTTTTCCTGCCGCTCCTTTTACCTCGCTTTTCCTGCCGCTCCTTTTACCTCGCTTTTCCTGCCGCTCCTTTTACCTCGCTTTTCCTGACGCTCCTTTTACCTCGCTTTTCCTGACGCTCCTTACCTTTTTCCTTTTCCTGACGCCTCCTTTTTACCTCCTTTCCCATTTCTTCCCACTTAATAAGAAGTTTGTCTTCAGTTTTAATATTAATTTTGTCAGTCAGAAAGCATAACTCGGAAATATTTGCAAATGAGCAGTTACTACACTCTAATCCTAAGCTTCTTCATCTGTGTGTCATATCCTTTCAGAACATAGGCGATCATGGCTCTACACAATTTCCTGTTCTTTGTAGCTCTTAATAATTTTCCTCTTTTTCCATATCTCCCAAACCTTGTTTCACCAGCCATTCACCCAAACCTTTGAGGTAGGTTATATGTTCCTTTCCTCTGTCTCACTTGCCTTCAATCTGTCTTGTGAGTATTAAATTTTCCAAGCCCGCTTTCCTCATTATGCCCCAGAAATTTCAACTGTCCCTTCCTGATGTCAAGTAGAAGTGCCCCTTTCACTGCCATCATCTCTAAAACTTTGTTGCTGCTCACATGTTCAGTAAAAGTGTAATGGTTGTAAATACAAACAAGTCGATTACAAGAATAGATAAACGACATAAAGATCAGGATTCTAAACCGCAATCTATCCACCCTGTTCAAATAATACAAATATGGTATAATTTTATTCAATTTTTTTCGAAATATGGTATCATTTTATTCAATTTTTTTCGAAATATTGTATAATTTTATTCAATTTTTTTCGAAATATGGTATCATTTTATTCAATTTTTTTCGAAATATGGTATAATTTTATTCAATTTTTTTCGAAATATGGTATAATTTTATTCAATTTTTTTCGAAATATGGTATAAATTTATTCAATTTTTTTCGAAATATGGTATAAATTTATTCAATTTTTTTCGAAATATGGTATAATTTTATTCAATTTTTTTCGAAATATGGTATAATTTTATTCAATTTTTTTCGAAATATGGTATCATTTTATTCAATTTTTTTTGAAATATGGTATCATTTTATTCAATTTTTTTTGAAATATGGTATCATTTTATTCAATTTTTTTTGAAATATGGTATCATTTTATTCAATTTTTTTTGAAATATGGTATCATTTTATTCAATTTTTTTTTTAAATATGGTATCATTTTATTCAATTTTTTTCCAAATATGGTATCATTTTATTCAATTTTTTTCCAAATATGGTATCATTTTATTCAATTTTTTTCCAAATATGGTATCATTTTATTCAATTTTTTTCCAAATATGGTACCTTTTTCTTTTCTTTTCTAAAATAATGAACTTTGAGACTTTTAGAGACTTGCCTAGTTTCAGAATCATATTTCATGGTGTATTATTTGAAAGACATGTTTCATCCTTTAGAGCTTAATCTTACTAAATCTGCTGTGTTATTGTGACTACACATGCACACAAACAAGGGATGCTGGAAATTTTTAATTTAAATTTCTTTTATATATAAACTAGCTAATTTCATTTAGATTGTTTTTCTTTTTGTTTTCATCATTTTTGTTATTAAATATCCCAGACTGTGATGATGATGATAGAAGTTCTGCCAAGGATGGTGTAATGTTGATTCACTGTGAGTGACCTTGCAATCAAGGCACATTCATACTCCATGTGTAGTCGCACAAATAGAGCAAATTTAGTCTGAAGTCCTAAAGGATGAAACACATCACATGAAAATTTTCCACTTTGTTATGCATATTTTTCCCCAACATTTTTATTGATATATAAAGTCATATATTGTTATCTCTGTGTGTGTGTGTGTGTGTGTGTGTGTGTGTGTGTGTGTGTATATATATATATATATATATATATATATATATATATATATATAATATAGTGTGTGTGTGTAGAAAGAGAGGTGAATAGTGGCTTGGATTGAAGAATCAGAAAGCCAAATTTGAATTTCAATTGAGTTTGTTGAATTCACTTATGTGCAAATATCCTTGGAAAAGGTATGAATCCATCTCTTCTCCCTCCAGCTATGGGTTGAAAACCTGAGGAATATTGTTTTGGGGACCTTGTGGTATACAATGTGCATCAGTTCACTGTATTGGGCTCTCCCAAAAAGAGTGGTTGGTTCTGCATAAACCTTCATCACTATAATCATGTATGTGCAAGGAGTCTGGCTGTTTACTTTGGAACTGAACTGCTGGACCCTAATATGTTGAGAATGATGGGAGAGGTCAGAAAGAGTGTGTGTGTATCTATGTAATAAATGCAATTATCAGTGTGTCACTGTGTCACACTTTTTTTTCATTTAAAAGGACACAACTCTAACTTTTACTCATGTTACAGAAATTTTGGATTCCCAATTTTCATTACTACAACAGTTTTCAGTTATTTTTTATTTATTTTTTTTACAATAACAATATTTATAACATGGAAATAAATTTGGAAATAACCAAAATTAATTGTGAAATCCAGTGAACGTCACCCATGAAATAAAAATAATTGTTTGTATGGAAAGTAATGACCTAGGCACATCAACTTGTCTTTAAATTAAGTGGCAGCAGAAGAATTATCATTGAACTTCTAAAAGTTAAGCTTAAATGTTAATGCAATACTTAAATGCAGCAATCAATTTTGAGTTCTTCTGTAGCTTATTGTTGCCTATCACATCCAGTGTCAGTATGCTTCACAAAAAGAAATCTCCACCAACAGAGGACCAGATTGCAATCAAAAGAACCAAGGTTGCATCAAGGAAAAGAATGTCCTGTGCAAATGAAAACCCAGATCAAATGACAATCAGGAGAGCTTCCAATGCTTTAGATAGGCAAAGACTTAGGGACTCTCAAACTCCTGAACAAGCCAAAGGTCCAATCAAGAGCTCTCCGCAGGAGTTAGTTTGTGCTACCCAATATGGCAGCTTTTAAGGTAATATATATATAAACTGAACATTGGGATCAACTGTGTGCCAATGTTAAAGAAAGTTGGCAGCATGCTGCTCCTCTGAAGGATAGCCTAACCTGACACTGTGGCTTTGTCATGCGCAGTCAAGTAGGCCTTGCTGTCCATTTGCAGAAAACCTGTCACAATTGATCCTTAACCACTCGAGCAAAATGCCTCAAACATTTTATCCATCTATCTAAAAGTTTGCAAATCAGCTGCAGGCTTTGGAAGACACATGCATGTTTATAGAAGTTTAGCACCTTTATTTTACCGATCATTCATTAGACATCCACCACCATATATATATATATATATATATATATATATATATATATATATATATATATATACGCATGTGCATAGAGGGTGTGATGGGTAAAATGTCACCATTTTATTTTTTTTCTAATTGCACACATGCATGTTCTTTGTTTTTGATTTTGTCAACTGCACAGTATAGTAGGCTCAGTTGGGTAGTGTCTGTGAGAAAAAGAGCACCAGGATGCAATTCATTCCACCAGAAATTTGGAAACATCATGCTTGGTATCTGCAACTGGAAGCTCTAATACAAACATTTCAGAGTGTTTGGGTGTCAATTTGAGGACAGTGCAGAGGATTTGGAAAGAGTTGGATGAGTCTAATGGTGATTATGAAGTTACAGCAGCTTGGAAAATTCACTTTGATTGTTCTGATAAAAAAAGAACACCTGAATTTATTGGTGAGGGCCTCAAAATCAACATGGAGGCTTACTTCAAGTGCCTTGAGAAGGTAGTGCTGCCCTGAGTCAAGAGGGTGGCTGCTGGAAGACTCTATATCTGGCAACAGGACTCTGCACCATGCCACACAAGCAGGAGTTTCTAGTCATGGCTGCCAGACAATTTCTGCGACCACATCACCCCTTACATCTGGTCACCTAATTCTCTAGACTGCAACCTCATTGACTACAATGTGTAGGGCATAGTTGAGAGAGCAACAAAACTCCTTGTGACATCAAAAATGAATCGAAGGCAAGGATTATATCAGCATTCACTAACTTAAACAAGGAGACCATCCAGAAGAGTTGCAGATGATTCGAAAGTTGTCTAGGGGTTGTGGTTGAAGCCAATGTCAATTTTTATTGAATAAATTTACTCTTTAGTATTTTAAGATATTTTTGTGTCATTTTGGTAAATATATCTGTTAAAATGAGATGTCGGTGTTATTTTCATTTTTGTGTCATTTAGACGACAATTTATCCATCTCACCCTGTAGATAGCATTAATACAAATAGAAAATTAGCTGATGGATGATGTTTCCAATCTCTACTTCAGAGTTTTGTAGATGGACTCTCCAGCAATCACTCTGTTCACTTGTCAGGAGATATCAATTAACTATTTATTTTTCTCATTTTTCTTTTATATTGAGTTAAACCTTTTCATTGGTACAAGGTTGATTATTTTTGTGTGTGCATTATATATATAAAGATGATTCCATCGCTACATAAGAGTTCTCATGTTTCAAAACAAGAGCCAAAAAACTTCAATATAATTATTTGAATTAAATTGAATTAAAGTAAGCTCTGTTCCATCTTCAAGCAAAATTTTTTTTTTTTGAATAACTAATTCCTATATATATATATATACACACACACACACTTACAATAAAACACCTGGTTTCTACCAAGTTTAAGTCTGTACTTCCTTCTGCAGGGATTGAACATGCAATTACTCTGTCACCAAATGAAGCAACACTCTAGTCCACTAGACTATTGAGGATTTCCTCAGTAGGCCTAGCATAGAAATAAACAATATTAATAAATTGAGAAATGAAAGCTAAAACTATAGGAGTGGTAGTGAATGCAGTCAAGCATGATATCAAGAAATAACTTTAAGTTTTCAAGTTCTTAGAGTAATGTTCACCTTATACAAGGCCTGAGGATCACTCAAGGTAGAGGGATACAGAGAAAGAAGAGGCACGGCTTGCATGGATATGTGTGGAAGATAACGGTTAACCATGGACTTGAACAGGCTAAGAATGCAGTCATCAGGAAAGCAACCTCTTGGGAGTTGATTCGACAGGCAGCGGTTCATAGGAAGAAGCTACCTGAATGGAACCTACATCTCACCCAGGGAATACAAAGGGATGAAGGTGTCATGGTAGATCCTAGCCGTGAATACCAGGGCTGGTGGAACTAAGGAATGTAGTTTGTGTAAACACTTTCCATAGAAACCACGATAGAGCAGAATAATGTCTCATCTATGAGAAAAGGATTGTAGAGTGGAAAAAAGTTCATCACCCATAAGGATGAAGAGATGATTTTAGACTCTATTGGGAGTAGAAAATGAAAACTGGGCATCTCCTGCACATATTGGGTTCAGGATTGTTGGACAGCAAAATAGCCAAATGCTAAATGCTAAAAGAAGTTGTAGTACATTTGTCTATATAGCTTCTTTTTTTTTAATCATTTCACCCCAAGCAAGACAATAAAGCCATTAAGATGCAAGGAGTTATGGAGTGTTAGAAAATATAGAACTGTGCTAATAAGAAAAGAAGACAGAAGAGAATGATTGAGATTGCATTTAAATTTTTGAAGATCAAAGGCAATAAAGCCACTAGGACGCATGGGGTTACTGAGTGTTAGAGAATACAAGAAAAACTACTATTAAGGAGAGAAGACAATAAAAGAACAAGAATTAAGAAGACAGAAGATAACGATTGACATTGCATTTAAATTTTTGAAGAGCAAAGTTGACTGGGAAGCAAGAATCTGCTAAAGAGTTCCACAAGCAAGAAGTGCAATAGAAGAAACTGTTAACATAGAACTTTGTTTTACATCTTGACATTTCAACTGTAAAATGATGAAAACTTGTTGCCAATCTAGTACTGTGCTTAAATTCATAAAGTCTAGGTACCATAGAAGAAAATTTCATCAGAACAATTACCATGAAAGTATTTATAGAAAAGGCAGAGGGAAGCTATATTACGGTGGTGGGAAAGTGACTGAAGCTGAGATGCCAGGTCAGGACCCATAACATTTCAAATTTTTCTTTGGATTTTATCAAGAATCTTTAAATATATAGCAGAAATAACAGATCATATGTGTCAGCAATATTCAAAGCATGGACAGATGGTAGACATATAAATATGTAAGATAGTTTCTGGAGAGAAAAATTACCTAACATGACACAGTGAAGCAACTTTCTTAGTTGCAGATGTTAAACAATTTCCATGTAGTCATTTAATCATTGTGAGATTGTTGCCATATCAATTGCATAAGAAAATGACCCCCCCTTTTTTTTCTAACCTACTTTGTGGGTGTTGAGGAAATCTATCAAGTGCTTAAACATATTTATAGATTATTTACACTATTTATATTCAGATTGTCCTCATCTTTGTTGTTTTTATCCTAACATTTTAGCTGTTGTGACCCCCCCCCAGCTTCCTCAGATGTATATCGATCGATTGTGTATGGAGGGAAAGGGATGGTCATCAGCCTCTGTGGAATGAAGTGAAAATACTGGGAAAAACTCTGGAGGGTTAGCTGTCTGAACGAATCAGCACACATTCTAGGCTATGAGGACTTCATAAGTAGGCCTAGCATAGAAATAAATACAAAATGGGAGCCACTAATAAAGAAAGACAAATGACAGCAAATCTTCCATTGCAGCAGCAACAGTTATCAAAATATGGGCAGCAGTGGTAGTAGCAGCCTAATCAGCAGTGAAGGTTAAATTTAAAGCACTAAGTCTACACAAGCAAATTGTCTTATGGGACAATGATCTAGTGGGTAAAAGCATTGGTTTGTGAATTTTGTGAGATAGTGATTGTGATTTCAATCTCTGGGATAGGCAGTGTGTACTTGCACTCAGTGGAAACAGGCAAGATAAAACTAAACAGTACGAAATAAAAATAAGACCTAGACGATATGCCTAGACATGAGCAGTGGAATGATAAGTCTACCCCCATAGATTAAATAAAGGGTTCAATTCAGCATTCCCTGTAGGTTACACAGTTCGATATACACCTGAGGAAGGTCAAAGGGTATAATAGCCAAAATGTTGTGATAAAAGCAACAAATCTATATTTCTGTGATGAGGTAATATGTACATTATTTACATTATTCGGGCTATTGTCCTCCTCTTTGTCGCCATATTTATTACAATGTTTCGGCTGTTAATTCCCCTTCCCAAGTTCTCCACTGCTTTAACCAGGTATTGAACTCACACTCTTTGGGTTCTGTCACTGGCTCTAACTATTGCCTTTATCCGCTGTGCCATGTGTCCTTGAGGACATTCCAACTTCTTGAAGAAGGCCGGAACGTACAGTGGCTGAAATGTTGTAATAAATATGGCGACAAAGATGAGGACAATAGTCTGAATAATGTAAATAAAAACAACAAAGATGAAGAAATAGTCTGAATGTAAATAATGATAACTCCTAATCCTAGAAATTCAGACAAAAATTTTTATAGATTTTATTTTTTTTTTTTCCGATATTGCATTGGATTTTTCACAAAGTATGTGTTCCTTCTCAACACAATATTTTATGTTTTGTTTTGTTTCTGCCTCAGTCAACTTGTTCTTTTTTGTTGTAGGTAGAGGATGATGTTGGAAAATATCAAAATGAGTATGCAAAAACAATGGAAAAATATCGAGTTGACAAGGCAAGATATGAAGATGTATTTGCAAAAGGTAAGCACATTTTTCAAAGACTTTTCAGGAACTCTTGACAGCATTTGAATAAATGACAACTTTCTTTCTACTCTTTCATGTCTTTAGTGTCTTACAGCCATATCATGTTGAAACATTGGTTCCTGTATGATCACCACAGTTAAGCAATGTCAAGCCTTGTCAGTACCTAGATGGATGACTGCTTGGGAATCGCAGGTACTGTAAGCTTGGATATTCAGGTGGTGTAATGGATAATAGCCTAGAATTGTTAATCAGAGAGCGAAGTTCCAATTCCAGTTGGCTTCATTATATTTGCTTATGTGCAAATACTCTTTGGAAAGGTATGAACCCCCCCCTTCTCCCCCCGTCTATGGGTTAATTAATAAGACTTGTATTACTAAAACCATTATTATCTCAAGAAAATTTCTTGAGTCGTTTCTACAACTGATCAGCACATTGCAAATTACTTGAAGCCTCAAAATATTTTTAGATCATATTTTCTGGCTTTAAATAACCTGAAATAGGTTGATAAACCATAGAAAATAAATGAATCAATGAATCATCTATGACTCGGTATTGTCATAGAAAAATAATCTGCTGTAATTTGTGGAGAGATTAATGATCGGATGTCTTCCACAGCCATTCCCCCCCACACACACCTGTTAAGATCAACAGCCAGACCCCCCACACATACACACACACATTCCCCATGAGATCCCCCTCCCGGTAAGAGCAACAGCCGGATGTCTCCCTCCCCACTGAGATCAACAGCTGGACATTCCCACACCACACCACACCCTCTCTGGAAGAACAACAGCCAAACATTTTTCATCCTTCTTGACTCAATTTCTCTGGTTTTCTTCATCGTATCTGAAATGGTAAAATGAAGTATTGTTATTTTCTATGAAATATTTAAACTGGTATCCTCATTTTTGTTGTTTTGATCACATTGTGTCCAATGCAAGCTTTATTTATACAACTAACATCTCATTGCAAAGCAAAAGAAAATAATAATTTGCAGAATTTTGTTTTGTAATTAATTATAAAACGAGCAAATTATCTTTTCATAATTTCAGATTTATTGATATAAAATGTAATGTGTTCAGGCTCCCTATGTTTCTTTTTTAAAAAAGTGTTTTGTATGGACCAAGTATAGGACAGTGTGATACCTTGGATATTAGTGCTGCATTGGTAGGGCTTAGAATAGACAAACTGTATTCACTGTAAAGAGAGTATAACACCCCCTCCCAAGCAGGTCCAACTTCTGACTTGATACCTAGAAACATAACTTAAATATAAAGCAGACTCATATCTGCCTTTTTTGACTCAACTTTGAAACCGATTTATCAATTAATTCTTTGTCTGTTTTGTCTTGGTAGACATATATTCGACATTAAATAACCGTAAATAGTTTATTAATTTAGCCAACTTGAGTAACATCAGTGGAAAATAATATTAGTCACAGCTGTATGTAGAGGACAAAATGAAGACAAGGTGAAAATTTCAAAAGGGGGATGTTCTGCCTCTTGATATGCGTCCATCTTTCAGACAGATAAATAAATGCCTTATGGCAGTCAAAACTCTGTTCTGTTCATCAGCAGATTTATTAAAAATCAAAAAGGAGGAAAGTAAAATAAAAAGAAATGAATACAAACATGAGAGTAGTTTAGTCGAACCTTTTTCTTTTGGTCTTACTCCTGGAAAGAGTCTTTGGGGGGTGGTAATGTGCCGAGCTGTCCACCATTCTCCTCTATCTGTCACCATCGTGTGCCAGAGCCTGGGTTTCTACAATTGGTTTCTTGGTGTACTCATCATGTAGTGTGTCTTGGACATTTTAAGCTGGCGGGGCCCCATCCCTCTCCAGCTGAGACCACAGCTGATGTCTTCCAACTGATTGTAAACATGTGATTGTTGCAGTTTATCTGAGGAACCTTTCTGCCCTGGTTAGTCACCTGCATCAAGGAGGTCCTTCGCCCAGTTTTGCTCCCTCATGTGAATTTAACCTGCCAGCTGAAGTGGTTTACAAGGGCATAGCAACTTGGAGCCATTACATGATAGATTTAGGATGCCCATCCACTCGAAGATACAGACTGCCAGACACGAAAGGTACTACCTCTATCCAGAGCACCCCCCATGCCCATATATGTGTCATTTGCAGACAGTACTGTTTCGTTATATCACAGGTCCTCAGTGGGACTAGACATCTGAATGCGTCAAGCCCAGATTAAAACTCTACTGATTTGGTGTCAGTTTCTACAACTGAGTTATCTTCATTTGACAGAGAGTAACAGCTAAATCTAGCGTATTGTTTTGATGAATGTAAACAAATGCCAATCAGCCAAAGTGCTCCAATTCATTTCATTAACGTAGGTGGGTGTTGTTTATAGAATTAGCCTATCACTCAACAGTGCTCAATTGAAATTTACACTGGATTTTGGAAGGAACAATTAGTCATCAAATGTACCACTTTAAGAAATATTATATAGATTTTAAATTATAATAATAGAAATCAAAATAAATTAAAAAAGAATGAAAGTATAAAATTATCATTTTTTTTTTTTTCCCCCATATAGCTTGTGTATAATGTGATTCCTGTTGTTCATGATGACGGTCGTCTTTGAGTATAGAATCCAGAGGTTAGCAGTGAATATTTCGAAGACAGTAGGGAAGCATTGTTCAGGTTAACAGTGGATATCCCAGTAAAATTAGCAGAGCATAGTTCTTCCTTCTGGTTCTCTTCGCCTGACAAGCTGGCACTGGACATTCGGATAGAGTAAACAAAATGGCCGCCTTTATACACGACGGATTGAATATTCTACGTCTTCTCATTGGTTAACCTTCTATTGGTGTACTATAAAGGGAGTCAAGTCATTTGGGCTAGCTCACTAGTAGATATATACACAAAAAACTGCAACAATTCCGGCTTCTTAAACAATGTTAGTAGGGTGGAGTAATGGATAGTGGCTCGGATTGAGGAATTGGAGAGCCAAGTTCAAATGCCAGTTGAATCCATTACATTCACTTACATGCTAGTACCTTTGGAAAAGGTATGAATCCTCTTCTTCTCGCCCCATCTATGGGTAAACACCAGGACAGACCGGGTTCTATAGCCTTGGATGATAACTGGTCTACTTAAAAAGAAATGGCAACCTACTGCAGGAGAAAAAATTTGCCTCATCAGTCATGTATCAAAAGATACATGATTACCTAAGTGTGTATCATGCATGGTACATAACTGACTGACCCTTGGGAAAGGTATGAATCCTCTTCTTCTTCCCCCCCCCCACCTATAGGTAAACAGCAGGATAGACCAGGTTCTATAACTTTGGATGGCAACTGGTCTACCGCAGAAAGTAATGGCAACCTACTGCTGGAAAAAATCTGTCTTGTCAGTCATGTATCGAAAGGTGCATGATCACCTAAGCGTGTATCACGTATGGCACATAACTGACTGGTCCTTAGGAAAGGTATGAATCCTCTTCTTCTCCCCCCCCATGGGTAAACAGCAGGAAAGACCAGATTCTATAGCCTTGGATGGCAACTAGTCTACTGCAAAAAGAAACAGCAACCTACTTTGGGAAAAAATTTACCTCGTCAGTCGTGTATCAAAAGATACATGATCACAAAGTGTGTATCACGCATGGCACATAACTAACTGACTGAGTCGGTGTTATCAAATATTGCAGTACTTGGTACCATTATGGACATATTTTATAGCAAATAAATGGTCTTCATTCTTTTTGGTACAAAGCTACCAGAAAATGGTGTGAAAAAAACTTGCCGTAAAATATCTGATACAAAGATTTAGATACTGTATTTTTTGTTTTCATTCATGCCTGACTATGGTAGCTCCTTTAACTTGGGTCTGCCTCCTACGTAGCCTGAGTTTCTTCACTTTTGTTGCTACATGAAGAGCAAAACCTCATCCACTATAAATGCCACTTAAAAATCAACAAATACCTAATATAAATGAAGGATTAATAGATTTTTTTTGAAGAAAGGTAAAAAATACATTTTTAATTCTTTGTTTATATAAGGTATTTGTAGATTTTAAGTGACGCACATAGAGAATGACATTCTGCCATTCATTTTGCAATAGAACAAATCTAGACGGTGGGGAGGCAGGCTAAGGGGGCTTACCTGTACCGTTAAAGTTAGCCAAAATTACCATGAAAATGTAAGCCTACCAGGTCACAGAAAATGCATTAATTTTAACCTCTTCAAGAAATTATCTGTGTACAGTGTGAACCCCTATTTTGTGCATACAGAACAGAGAATATTAATGAATTGGCACCCCTCATCTGGTGCTTAATAGGCAAAGTAGTTTTTGAAGATGTTGTCTAATCCCTAATGTTTCATGACCCATGCAGATAACATTGTGCTAAACAAATAAAATCTATGTTTGTATCCTGTGTGTGAGACATTGGTACTAAGTATACACTTGGTATATTTATTTCTTTTCTTGAAGTCTTAAAGGTTATCGTAATTTTGTTGCAGGCAAGATGAATAAGAAACTTGAAGACACAAAGGCTCATTATTTGCGGACGACTGCTCGGTTGCATAAGCTTCATAATGACTACATCATTGCACTCCAAGTTGCCTCTCTGCATCAGAATAATTACCTCACCAGCCTCCTGCCTGCCCTTCTCACATGTCACAGGGATACACACACCCATCTAACTGACGGATGGTAAGTCTATGTTGACTCAACATTAACCATGAAATGGGTAGTTGGGGGAGGATGCACAGATGCATTCCAATTTGCTGGTATTATTACAAGTTTGTTTCAATAGTTAATAAACACATCCATTGATAGAAGAGTATGCTTTTGTCTTTGGTTTCCAAGTTGGTGAGGCTTGTTAAATAGCTCACTAATTTTGTCTCCTCTGAAAGAAGAAAGCATAAAATTTTCAAAAGAACACCTGAAGTAACGTAATCATTACAATTGCTTAAAAAAGAATTGTTTTGTCAGCTTCTGAGACAAATGGTGGGAAGGAGACTTCTGTTTCTTCCAACACTTTCAGACTCGACAGTTATTCATTGTTGAGCTTCAGTAGAAGTCATCATACCACTAGACTAAATACAGTGTAATATATACATGTGTATCTTTTATGTATGCTTTCTATACTGGCAAATAGTGTTTATTTTTTGCTAATTTTTTTTCTCTCTCTCTTTTGCACCCTCTCTCTTGCACTTTGTCCTGGGTATGATGATAAACTGCATCCAGCAGCAAGGCCTCTGATCAGGAAGTTTTGAGGAGCATGGAACTGCCTCTTAGTTGCTGTTGTTCCCAGGTTAACCCTGACCCGGGGTGGTAGCACCTATTAGGGTCCCAGCTATTGATAAATAGTTCCCCCCACTCCCTTGATGTGAAGTTGGAATACTCGGAAAGTGTAAGTGGGTTTTTGTAATAATAATACCATCAACACAAACTGCAGTATATAAAATGCACATTCACAAAACCAGATTTCAAAAAAATAAGACAGCGAATACAAAAATTAAAATTATGTGGCTATCTCTTATAAGCGAACCAAGAGACAATATGAGACTTCTGAAAGTGAAAATGAAATAGAAAAAAATCAATTTCCAATTTTCATTGTAGATTCAGTAGAGGGTGATATATCAAAAGTGTTTCCTTTCATGTTGCAAAGGGTTATTTCAGACATGATCAAATCACAGTATGTTAAAAAAAATAAAGAAATACTCTATTAATTCAAGTGATATCCAAAAAAGACGCAGAGAAATTGCTAAAAATCAAGCAAACTGACAAGAATAAAGTCAAGGTCTACTCCCATCAATTTCTTAATTCATCAAAAGGAGTAATAAGATGCCCAGAACTGTCACTTTTTTCATCAGAAGAAATTGAAAATGATGACACCTTAAAAAAGCAAGGAGTAACAGATGTTGAAAGAAAGTAAAAAGAAATGACACAGTAATAAACACCAACACATACATTTTGACATTCGACAAACCGACTCTACCAAAAGAAATAAAGATAGGTTACACAATAGCCAAGGTAGAGCCATACATTCCTAATCCCCGTAGATGTCATAAATGTAAAAAAATTGGTCATCTTCAAAATGTTTGTACGAGACCATCAGTCTGTCAAAGATGTGGGGAACCGGAAACTGAGCATGATGAATCACCTTGTGAAAGGCCTCCTTTATGTCCAAACTGTAGGGAAAAACATTCAGCAGACTCCAAAGAGTGTAACATTTAGGAAAAGGAAATAATTAGAAGAAAATACATGCGAAATATCTCATTCCAAGAAGCCATGAAACTGATTGAATCTAATCCACTTCAAGCATCATATGCAAATATCACTAAAATCAACAAAAAGACATCCAAGAAAATGATGCATTAAGAAGCCAAGATCTTATAAATCTTATTAATGAATTAAAAAGTTTAATAGAACTACTAAAATGTAGTATATCACTCATAAATCAAACTCCCATAGACAAAAAAAAAATCCTGTTCCGTCAACCTTAAACAAAAAAATCTCTACATGTACAAAACAATTAAATCCGAAAATCCCAAACCAAAGTACAAAAATCCAAGAAATAGAAACCTTTAAACATTCTCAAGAGAATCAAAAGGTACAAAAAAAAAAACTCGACTTTTAGTGAAGAATCAATAGAAATGGACATAGAGGAACAAATCTTTAGCCCATCACAAAGGAAAGATCATCATCTATACAAAGTTCATTGAAAAGAACCGAATGGTAAAACTAAGGAAGCAAAATCAAACAAGAAAGTAGAAACAAAAGATGTTTAAAGAACAAAATATAACAAGAAACAAAATGCTAATAGTCTGGAGAATATAGAAATGGTGGATACTTCACCCATATAAATAAAAAAAAATATTGGACATGTAAAAATTCATAATACATAATCAAAATGGAATTGTAATTGGGGTCAAAACACCATGAAAGTGTAAAAATAGGTTTTAATACCAGAAATACTTTGTAAAAAAATTATTGCCAGCAATACATTTTTGAAAACCAAATGTTGCCAGCAATGCAGTTTTGAAAAACAAATATTACCAGCAATATATTTTTTTTAAAAAAAAAAGAAAAATATATATTAACAGCTATACATATTTGAAAGAAAATTATTACCAGAAATAGAATTTTTGAAGGAAAAATTTTACCAGAAATAGATTTAAAAAAAAAAATATTACCAACAATAAAATTTTGTCAGCATTAAATAAACAATTGAGGTCGATATGCCGTAAAACCAAACTCTCTCTTGCACGCACTCTCTCTCTTGCACTCTCTCTCTTGCCCTCGCTCTCTCTTGCACTCTCTCTCTTGCCCTCGCTCTCTCTTGCTCTCTCTCTTGCCCCTCGCTCTCTCTTGCACTCTCTCTCTTGCCCTCGCTCTCTCTTGCCTCTCTCTCTTGCCCTCGCTCTCTCTTGCACTCTCTCTCTTGCCCTCGCTCTCTCTCTTGCACTCTCTCTCTGCCCTCGCTCTCTCTTGCACTCTCTCTTGCCCTCTCTCTCTTGCCCTCGCTCTCTCTGCACTCCTCTCTCTTGCCCTCGCTCTCTCTTGCACTCACTCGCACTTGCTCTCTTGCACTCACTCGCACTCGCTCTCTCTTGCACTCACTCGCACTCGCTCTCTCTCTCATTCTCTCACTCACTCTCTTTTACTCTCTCTATCATGCTCTCTCTCTCATGCTCTCTCTCTCTCTCTCTCTATCTCTCTCTCTCTCATACATACACACTAACATGATGATTGCCCACTTACTGCGCAAAGCTGACACCTTGTGGCAGTGTAATGATTAGCAAACTTGTCTCACTAGATCACTTGCGATTGAGTAGTGAGGTCAATCCTCACTGGGTGCCTCCTATGTTTGGCCTTGTACCACATCTAAGCTATGCTTGGAAAATCACTACTGCACAAGGCTGGTTACCAAGCAAAGTTGCAATAAGGAATACAGAAATGAGAAAAACTCCAATCCCTAAAATTAAAGCTTGTAATCTGGAGGGGAGATGTTGCAGGGTGGAGTGTATATATGCTTGCCAAGAACAGGGATGTAATATTTGCCTCCCACTAGAGAAAAAGGGTTTAAAAGTAATTGAATCTCTTATTATAAGAAACAACAAACCAACCCATAACAGCATCAATTATGAACATGGCAACAATGTATTTGGAAATTAAGAAAGTACCTATTTTCAGCAACTTTTATATGTCTCCAAGAGCACTTACACATCATTTAAGATAGTCTTTGAAAATGACTAACATTTTAGCCAAAAGCATTCAGAACCAGCAAACTTTTGGCAAGGAATCTGACCATTATTTCCACTTAAAAAAATGCTGGTTTAATTAAAAAGGAAAGTAATTTACTGAGGTGAAGATATATAGAAAGTGCTCTGATTTCTGAATCATCCATGGTGAATTAGCATCCATGTTCTTACATTTGAATTAACAAATCTGTTTTCATTATCTGTGTGTCCCTTGTAGAGAAATCCACTCTCTCATCCAGGGTGCTTTAGACCACTCAGCCATGACGACCTTCACAGCCCAGCAATGTTCAGTTATTCATTTAAGGAAAGCATCTCTCATGCTGGGCTTTTATTTTAATCCAACATTATTTGTTATTGGTTTAAACATTATATTTCAGTGGATACCCTTTTTTTTCTGAGGCAGTGTAATTA